TCTTAAGAGAAACTGAGGAGGAAGAGAGGATGATGTGGTGGGAGATGTGTAGAGAGTCCTTGTAGATCTGCCACATTGGAGGGGACTATGGTCCCAGAGGTACAGATGTCCTAAAACAGGCTGGAAAAAGGAGTCTGGAGAGAGCTTGGTGTAGTGAACCATGGGGAGCCTCCTCGTTGGCCCTGTGATCACCCAGGGACTGAATAGAGAGGCGGCCCTGGGAGACCTCAGACACTTAAAGGATATAAAGGGTTGAAAGGGGGGCCTGGCTTTGAGTCAAAGGGAGGAGAAGGAGATTATAAAGCTGAAACGTCTAAGAGAGTTTGTGGCCTGAGCTGTTCTACTGGGGCAGGTACTTCTGAGAGGCAGAGGTGGCTGAGATCTGGAAACAGGTCTGCAAATCTGGCCAGTGACGCTGTGCGCGGTTAAGGGAGTGTGTTGGAAGAATAGCCACGCGTTGTCTGTCCCGGAAGGAACAAGCCAGTGAGAGCCGGTCTGATGGGGCGCCCGGCGAATGGGGCTTGGTGAGGCCCGCGCTCCTAGGGGTGGGGGTGTGGGGATGGGTGGTCGCGATGCCGGGAGGGCGGGCAGGGCCCTGGCCGTGCTCATGAAGTTGGAGCTGTACTCTCAGCTACTCGAAGCTCGCCCCTGCTTTAGGCTGCGCTCCCGCGTGCTCCCCTTTTCTGGGCGCCAAGTCCCGCCTTCTAAATCTCCCCAAGTCTCCAGCCCACTGGAATTTTCTCTTCCAAGCGTGGCCCCGCCCTCTCCGCTCCGCTGATTGGTCCTAAGTTCCGGGCCCCAGTTTCATTGGATGAGCGGTCGGGGCCGGGCCAGTTGATTAAGTTTCCGCTGCGCTTTCCCACCGGGCTTAGCTCAGTTCGCCGCTGCTTGAGCCGCTGAGAGGGTGGGGACGTCGGGGCCATGGGACTGGGCCGGGTCTTGCTATTTCTGGCCAGCATATTCCCTTTTGCACGTCCGGTTGCCGCTGCTGGTGAGTGGCGTTCCTGGCGGTCCTCGGCTGAGCGGGAGCAGCGGGGCGTTTCGGGGCGTCGGGTGGGTCGCGGCGAGCGCTGTGCTGTCAGGGCGGGGCTCAGGTGCGCTGTCGGTGGTGCGGGGAGCCGGACGCGGCTGTTGCCGCCACACTTCAGCCTGCTTTCCCGTCTCTTTGCAGTCCTTGGGATCCCGCATCACCTGCCTATTCTGATCTCCTCCTGCGCTTGCTCTCCTCGCCTCTTCTCCGCTTCCTCTCACTTTTCGGACAAACCAGTCCTTCTGAGGCCCATGGGTTCCCGGGCTGCCTCCGGGGCTGCTCCTGTGAATGGCATTCGAGGGCTCTTCCAGCTCGGCCACTGAGGCAGCCACAACCCCCGGTGCTCGGGGCGGCTCTCAGGTCCCTGAAGTCCTGTCCTCTCCCGGAGCCGACGTGTTCTCAGCTCCTGGGCCGCAGCTCCTGGATTTGGAGCCCTCCTTTCTTGGGACCCGGAGCTGGTGCTTCCTGCTGTTGTGGGTACTGTGGGGGTTTGGAGTCTGCAGGCTCCGGACAGAGGATTTTTCCTGCGACTTCTCTCATCCCCAGCTCATTCTCCCCTCGACTCCGGCTTCCGGGAGTCCTCTCCTCTCTCGCATCCCACTCCTACTAATGACCAATGATCTAAGGACACCAGATTCCCTCCTACCTCCTCCCTGCCCATCTCAAGGCCCGCTGGGTGCTGTTGCCCTCCCAGCTCCCTGCTACCCCTTCCTGTGTGCTGTTCTCTGATCCATTTCTAGGGTGTCCTCTGCCCTCATCCCCTGCCCCCGCCACCGAAGGTCCCTCCTGCCTCCCTTATGGGCCTTTCCTACAAGCAGCCTTCACCCAGTGCTGCCCCTATGCCTCCCACTCCCAACTGTCCCTGACCCTAACTTTCTGGTGCTGCCTTTTTTCTGGGGGTCTTCCCTCCATCCCACTCCCCTCCAGACCACCCAAGGGGAGCCCTGGTGCTAATGGCAGTTGGGCCTTAGGCAGGGCACAGGGCAGTGCAAATGCCCCCTCCTCTCTAGTGCAGGTGCCTCCTCTGGACTCTGCCTCACGGTGGCCCCTTCCCCACTCCTTCATCCTCAGCCTCACCCTCTTGAGGACCCCACCCTCCGGCCCACAGGTGCTGAACCATCCCTCCCGGGTCCCTCCGCCCCTCTCCACCTTGGGACCTTGCACTGCTCCCACTTCTTGCCCAGCTGCCTTGGGCCCTCAGCAAGTTCTCATCTTTCCCAAGCCCCACCCTCCCCTCCTATCCTCACCCTACCTCGAGTTCTCCCACAGTTACTCCTGCCCCATGGTCATGCCGCCCTCCAGTTCTTGCTCTGCCCATCTCCCCTCCCCAACCCAGACCTAAAACAGGCTGTTGGGCCAACTGCTCCTTGACCTTCATTCTTTTCTTTTGGTTCCTTGACCCCAGTGGGCTCTCACTCCCTACACCACATATCTAAAATCTGTTTTGCCTGCTCTTGGGGTGCCACTGTTCCCCCTCCAGCACTACTCCTTTTGGCAGGCCCTTCCTCAGGCTGAGAATCTCTCCATTTACCTTGGTTTTCTCTCTCTGGCCAGCACTCCCACCCCTTACTTTGTTTTTAATTTTTAACTTTTGTTTGGGTATGTAGTAGATATATATGTATATATTTATGGGGTACCTGGGATATTTTAACACAGGCCTACAATATGTAATAATCACATCAGGGTAAATGCAGTATCTATCACAACAAGCATTTATCCTTTCTTTGTGCTACAAACCCATTATGCTCTTTCAGTTATTTTTAAACGTACAATAAATTATTGTTGACTGTACCCACCCTGCTGTGCTATCTACCAGATCTTATTCATTCTAACTATATTTTTGTACCCATTAACCATCCCACTCCCCCACTCCCCACTACCCTTCTCAGCCTCTGGTAATCATCATTCTATTGCCTCTCCCCATGAGGTCAACTGTTTTAATTTTTGGCTCTCACAAATAAGTGAGAACATGCAAAGTTTGTCTGTCTGGGCCTGGCTTATTTCACTTCACATAATGACCTCCAGTTCTTTGCAAATGACACTATGGCTGAATAGTACTCCACATACACACGTACACCACATTTTCTTTCTTCATTCGTCTGTTGATGGACACTTAGGTTGCTTGCAGATCTTGGCTGTTTTGAATAGTGCTGTAATAAACATGGAAATGTAGGCAACTGTTTAATATACCGATTTCCTTTCTTTTGGGTATATGCCTAACAGTGGGAGTGTGGAGCATATGACAGTTCTATTATATTTTTAGTTTTTGGAAGAACCCCCACATTGTTTCCCATAGTGGTGGTAGTAGTTTACATTCCCACCAACAGTGTACAAGGGTTCCCTTTTGCTACATCCTCGCCAGCATTCCTTATTGCCTGTCTTCTGGATAAGGGTGGGATGATTTGATTTGCCTTCATCTGATGACGCATGATGTTGAGGACTTTTTCATATAGCTGTTTGCCATTTGTATGTCTTCTTTTGAGAAATGATTATTCAGATCTTTCGCTTATTTTTAAATTGGATTATTAGATACTATAGTTTCATAGTTTGAGGTCATAGATTTACGTCTTTAATCCTTTTTGATTTGATTTTTGTATATGGTGAGAGATAGGGTCCAGTTTCATTCTTCTGCATGTGGATATCCAGTTTCCCCAGAACCATTTATTGAAGAGACTCTCCTTTGCCCAGTATGTGTTATGGGTACCTTTGTTAGAAATGAGTTCACTGTAGATGTATGGATTTGTTTCTGGGTTCTCTATTCTGTTTCATTGGTCTGTGTGTCTGTTTTTATGCCACTACCATGCTGTTTTGATTACTGTAGCTCTGTAGTATAATTTGAAGTCAAATAATGTGATTCCTCTAGTTTTGTTCTTTTTGCTCAGGGTAGCTTTATTCTGGGTTTTTTGTGATTCCATATACATTTTAGAATTGTTTTTCTATTTCTGTGAAGAATGTCATTGGTGTTTTGATAGGAATTGCATTGAATTTATAGATTGCTTTGGGTAGGATGGATATTTTAACAAAATTGATTCTTCTGGCTGGGCGCAGTGGCTCACGCTTGTAATCCCAGCACTTTGGGGGGCCGAGGCAGGTAGATCACCTGTGGAATACATCCACTTGATCATGAAGAATGATCTTG